ACATGTATGTATCCTCTCTCCGTTCCTGAGCGTTAGGATATTCAACAACTAGTTGAAACCTAATGTTTCAGCAGCTTGGAGCTGCCTGACTTTAAGCAGGACTCGCGCGGGCCACACCGTGCTGCTGAGTACTATTGCGCATGCGATCGAGAAATAACGGACCGCTTCGAGCATTCCAATCCCCTGTGCACGCCGTTCGGTGGCGATATGTGCTGCTATAACTATATTTGTGTACACATGTTCCTTCTCCCTATATATATATATAGCAACCGAGTGGTCGATCCCCTCCTTGACGCGGAGATTTGCACATAACCTCCGCGTAATCCCTGCCCTATTGCGGGCACACAGGATAATGGCGTGGACGCCATTATGCACGGCGCGCGGCGCGCTCGGAGATGAAATGGCCCGCCCGCGCGTCCCTCCGCTGTCTACACCCGTAACAACTGCTGGACGACGGTCAATTGCTAGCTTATATTAACTACATTCGAATGTGTATTGCCCGATTTCGACTTAGTCGTCAAATCCCGACTTGTTGATGTCTTGATTCTTTTTTAAAATCTTGATTTTTTACTAATTTGAAACAAAAAAACAATGCATATCCAGGCGGCTCAATTAAATTGAGACCGCAGGAGGTCTGGGAAGATGGGAATCATGATTACCATTTTTTTTTTTTTTTGGTTTTTTGGTGGGCCGTCTGGGCCTCTTCTGTGGAATCTTCGAGCTTTCTTGGAGCTCTTTTGGGCTTCCTTGGGATCTCTTGGAGCCCTTGTGTAAGCCCACGCAGGGTTTTTATTGGAGCCATGCTAGGCTTTTTCGGGGACTTCTCGCGTTCCTTGAGAGCCGTCTTAGGGCTTCTTGGGGTTTCCTATAGTTCTCGTACAGCCCTGCTGGGACTTTGTGGGGATCGCTCCTCCGCTATTGTTGCTACTGACACTCGACTGGCTGGTTGTCGTCGTCGACGCGTGACTTCGTGTCCTCTCATCCTTCCGACGCCACCTGGCTGCTCAAAAGTACGAGGTGATTTCATAGCCCTCGAGGTTTGAAGCAGATATCGGCATATTGATAACAGAGGTGTTCTTGTTAGCCCTCGGATATTTTCATCATGTTGTTTTCATAGCCCTTGAGGTTCGAAGCAGATATCGGCATATTGATCGCAGAGGTGCTCTTGTTAGCCCTCAGATATTTTCATCATGACCGCCTGCTCTTCCCGCGATGGCCGTGTCAAACAGTGCAATTACTTGTTCATAGCGAACCAGATAAATGTGAACTACCTCCAGGATGCATTACGAGAGAATTACCCAGCCCTGGTCGGGATTGCTCCTTACGCAACTGTTCATATCAGGACGAGACATGGGCGCGACGACAAGGTCACGCGTGAATCTGGGAATCATCATTTTCCGGTTCACGTTTGGGCTTATGAGCATCAGTCGAAAACCCGCCATGCGGTTATTGCAAAGCCGTACGCTGTGCTCGGAAGCAGCACCACTTGCCTTATAAATGCTTCCGCGAATCAAAGTACCCGCCATGTGAGTGACCCTGCAGAGCTAACGGAGGCATTCCGCGGATGCCTCGTGGACGCGTTGAGAGTTTTGCACGATTTCAACACAGGACGGGAGTATAGAGGCGCCAAACGTAAGTTGTCCGCGGCGATGGATATATTTGCAGCCAGTACGGTATCTGCGACTGGAAGCACGCGGTTGTTGAAAAATCTGGCAGAAGTGATTCCCGATATGCTAAATTTTCCGCCTTTGATACCGCTGCGACCGGGTCAGCACAATGGCACTTTGGACGAAGTGCTTCCGCATCTTCAGGCGCAGGTTGCTCAAAAGGCGGTAATAGAAGCTGTCCATACGTCGTCCTTCCGATACGGACCAGTGGTCGTCGCCACCGACGATAATCCTAAGAAGAAGACGACGGAGTTGTTCATCGATAACGAGGCCTTTCGCAAAGAAACGTTTTCTCATAAGCACAGAATTGTCGGCGTTGTGCCAGCCGCGACGTACGATCAATGGCAGCGGGGAGCGTTTCAAAACCGCCAATTCGCATATCTCTGTTCGTTTAGACAAGTCGTCGGGCATGGGATGAACAGTGGCACGATACAACCGCCGTTGACCGATCCTGTTTACACGTCGAACAACGCCCAAGACTCTAATGGCTGCTCTCATGCGGTGATGATACTACTCGGGGACGTACACGAACACGCCCACATCGTGGCGGCTCTGGGGAAAGCCAAGTCGCATTTAATCCCTAAGTTGCTTGGTGTCAACCCTTCCAGCACCGAGAGCGTGTGCACTTGGCTCGGAGATCCATGCCGCAGGTCAGAGCTCCTTCGTGAAGCTTGCGCACGTCTGCAGGTGCGGCTGCATGAGAACCAGGCTGAGCACATACTCTCCATTAACAACACCTTGACGGTCATGAAATGATAGGGCCTTTTTGTGTGAGCAGGGGGCCCGGTGATTCACACTTAGCCGAAGACCGCCGTGGAGGGAGGAGCAGGTAGCATCAGCAGTGAAGCATGCAGCAGTTGTCATGCCATAGCACTTTGAGGCTCATGAGGTAATTGAGTTTTGAATTGTCGTGTCGATTACTGAATTGAGAGTTGGTGCAACGGTCTCTCCCGGCCGCATGGCCGGGCCATGGATCCAGGCAGGGGCCCTAGCGGACGGGGAGCTCCTGGAGGAAGTTATGAGAGGCGGGCTGCTGGAGGCGGCCGCCTACGACGACAAGGGTGAGGCGCAAGGGGCATACATCCTGGAGGTCATTTGGGCCGACTGCGCTCCGACAGGGGGCGTTAACGTCAGGGGGAAGTTCCTTGCCGCCGAGGATGACTACTACGCATGGTGGATGCTTTCCAAAAGGTCTCAAGAAGAGATCTACCACGTGTGCGGCCTCAGCGGGGACGCGTGCCGGAAACGTCACCAGAACCAGGATAAGATACGCATCCAGTCGTGGCGGCCACTCGGCCAGAACGACATAAAAGAATATAAAATCGGGTGGGCTTCTAAGCCAAGCCTGAAAAAGAAGATCCTTGAAAGGATCAGTGGCTCCCTGGAGGGGCCCGGGGCCGTGCGGCCCCGCCCCGGCTCCCCGGCAACGCGCCCCGACGGCGACGCGGCTGGTCCTGGCTCTGTGCGCGCGGGCGGCGCTGGAGCTCCGGGCGGCGCCCTGTGGGCCAGGGGGGACTACGACGACCGCCGACACGGCAGCGTCAGAGAAGGCCTCTCTGACTTGCGCTCGCGGCTGGAGGCCGGCGAGGGCCGCGACCGCGGCAGGGGGGAACGGGTGGAGCAGAGGGCCGACCGGCGCCCCCCGAGCCGTTCACGCGGCCGCCGTGAGGCGGTCGCCGCGCCCCGGGGCGGGCGCAGGCAGGCCGAGGACGACGCTGGCGGGGGGCCGCGGGGGCGCCGCGACGCGGCCCCCGCGGCGCGGGGGGGGCGCTCGCCGGCCGAGCGCGACGACGCTGGCGGAGCGCCGCAGGGCCGCCGTGAGGCGGCCCCCGCCCCGCGGGACGGGCGACCGCGAGCCCGGGAGGACGCCGACGCGGCTCCCTCGGGCCGACGGGGTTCGCCGGGCGACCGGGGCAGGGAGCCCCGCGGCCCGTCGCCCCGCAGCAGGTCGCGCCGCAGGCGGGCCCCGCGGGGGTCGCGCAGCCCCCGCCGGCGTAAACCCAGGAGCGAGTCAAGCTGCAGCGACTCGTGCGAGATGGGTTTTCACGTGGCCTCGACCTCAGAAGGCGTTCGACAGAAGTCCACGCAGGAACGTCTTATGCGCTTCGCGCGCAAGCACCCGGGGAGACTGTCCAGGAGCGCCATGTGGACCATGGCGCAGAGGGTGACTCCTGGGGGAGAGGCCAACAGCGACAGCGACGACCACAAGAAGGAGCCTCCGGCAGCGGCGTCGGCCTACTTTCTCAGGGTGCTCGAGGTGAAGTACAACCTGTCCAAGCGCAACCGCAACGACATGGCCCTCATGTGCAAGCTCCTGGATCTCCTCGTCCAGAACAAAGCAGACAAGGCAATGGATTTCATAGTCCAGCACCTGAAAGCCGTCGAGCAGTCGGTGGTGGACCAGTCGTGGGAGCGCGCGTGCTTCCTCGAACTCGTCAAGGACGACTCGGCCACGCTCGTCAGCAGGAAGGAGAAGTGCATGATGCGCAGCGAGACGAAGGCGCAGCAGCAGCTGGCGCTTCGGCCCCAAGGGGGCCAGGGCAAAGGCAGCCAAAGGAGCGGCCACAGGGAGGTCAGCCTGGAGGAGAGCCAGAACGCTGGCAAGGGCAACCCTTTTCAGGGGAAAGGCCCCGCGCACTCCGGCAAGGCCTCAGCGAAGGGGAGCTCCAAAGCGAAGGGGAAGTGGTGGTAGCGAGCCACGCGCTGGCCCCGCCCCGGCCCGCCCTGGACGTCGATTCCGGGTGTTGGGCCGTGCCGCGGCGAAGGCGTGCCAAGGGCCCCCCGGGCCAAGCTGATGCCCCGGCATGCAAAGGAACTGGAATTCAGACAAGCGCTGAAGGCGTTACTGTCGAGCGCACTGCCCCCTCCCTCCACTCTGCCCCTCCTCCCCGTCTCTCTCCTCCCCCTTCCCCTTTGCTTCGACGCGGTCAAAGCCAAGCCGAAAAGGCCGTGCGAACCGCCGTCGCCACCGCCTGCTCGGCGCGCAGTGGCGCGCCGTTGTCTGCGTGGCAGAGCACGCTGTTGGACGAGCTCCACCATCTCGACGGCAACAGTGAAGTGTGGGAACTGTTTGAAGATTCAATGCCGTACCTACCAACAAAGCTCGGACGAGTCGCCTCGCTCGACCCTCCTTCGGGCACTCAGCCTCTAGACCACCAATCGTCGGGCACGCAGCCCAAGCATCCCTCGGGCACGCAGCCCTCGGGCACCCAGCCCCGCGGCGATCTTCTGCCGATTCCGGCCACAGCTGCACGGCAGCACGCAGAGATCCTGTCTGTAGCAGCAGGACACGCCGCGAAGTTCGCATTGCGCTGCCGTGCGGCAGTATGGTGCATGGTCACGTCCCTCAACTTCTTCGGAACGGGCGCGTGGGCCGGGGCCCCAGAGGGCCCCGACGACCAGCCTGGCGCCAGTGCCGGCCATTTGTCCAGCACCCAAAGACATTCCGTCCAGCACTTGTGGGAAGCTGCAGTGGATTTCTTGTCCCGCGAAAGCCCCTTGCCGTCCATAACGGCCATCAAGCATGACCTCTTCACCCGCCAGACGGACTACGCGGGAGAAGCCGTGGCGGTCCGGAGGGAGCTCGTCGCCGAAAAAGTTTTCCCTGCTTGGCCGGAGCGCGGCGAGGCTGCATCTGTCCCCGTGGTGTCGTTCCTCGATGGAGAGCTGCTGGACGACGTGCGTGACCCCAGATCGTGCCTGCTCCCTCCGGAGCAATGGCCGGAGGAACCCCCGAGGTCGCGCGTTTGGGCGTCCGACACAGAATGGTACAAGATTGTCAAAGAAGGGGCTGCCCGAGGCATCTTCGCAGAAGTCCCGGACGAGCTCGTTTTCCGAGATTCCGCAGGCCGGCCAGTCGTCAACGGCGCAATGGGGATTGACAAGCACCCCAAAGGGCCAGTTCCTGGCCCCACCCTCTTGCGTTTCATATCGATCTTCACGCCGATTAACTCCTACATGCGCAAGCTGCGGGGGGACGACCACACCCTGCCCACGGCCACCATGCTCAATGCGTGCATTCTCGAAGACGGCGAGGAGCTCTGGGACGATGCCGAGGACCAAAAAGGATGCTTCAATATCTTCCGCCTCCCGGACGAATGGCTAGGATATTGTGCGTACTCTAAGCAAGTATCTGCCGCGGCTTTCGGTGACGACCCCAACCGTATGGCTTGGGTCGGTATTCGTAGTGTAGCCATGGGTTCAAAGATTGCGGTTTCCATCATGCAACGAGTCATCCGCACGCTCGTCTTCGACATCGTTGGCGCCGACCCCCGCGCTGAACTACGGCGGGACAGAGCGTTCCCAGACGGTGACGTCAGCATCGTGTGCCTCGACGGATTCGACTTTGTTCGGAAAGCGCAATCTCGCCTGTGCAAGTTGCAAATCGTGGAGTCCATGGAGCATCAGCATTTCGTCGCTGCGTGCGCCAAACACGGAATCCCCCTGAACCCGGCCAAATCCCTAGTGGCGCAGTTGCGCGCAGGCATCCTGGGGGGCCTGCTTCTGGGAGACAAGGGGTGGTTGAAGTTGGCGCCAGAGAAGGCCAACGCCCTGGTGGTCAAAACCGCGGTGCTGGCAACGGAGCAGCAATGGCAGGCCGGCGCCCTCCAGCATTGGGCGGGTCAGGCATGTTTCGCCGCTGGCTTCCGCCGGCCCCTCTTCGCTGTCCTCGAGCAAATCTTCCCCGCTATCCAGACCGCCCTGGACGCGCCTGCGCCAGCAGACGCAGCGGTAATAGACGAAATGATCGCCTTCGCTTGTCTGCTCCCTCTCGCGTACACGAATCTCCGGGCGCCTGTTAAGCGCACCATTTCGTGCACAGACGCCTCCGAGGACGGCGGCGGGGCCGCGGAAGCAGCTCAATTCACACACGCTGTGGACCCACAACGGGGAGCGCGCCTGGAGGCACATTTTGCCAAACTGGCTGAGGACTCGGCCTTCGCCCCGGCGCGGCCGCAGACGTGCGCAGCGTGTGCGGTCCAGGTCCGCCCCGACGCGCGCGGGGCAGGCGGGGCCGTCTGCCCCGCCCAGTGCGGTGCCGTGACGTGCTGCGTGGACTGCCTGCTGCAGCATCGGCGTCAAGGATGTTCGCTCGCAGGCGTGCGTTTGCCCGGCTTTTTTGAAAGTGGGTCAGGCCCAGAGGCCCGCCTGTCTTGGGCCGTTGCTCGCGCAGGGGTCGAAGTGTGCCTTCCCCTTGACCCATCCCGCCCGCCAGGCTCCCAAGTGCTGTCAGAGTCCGGCCAAAAGCATGTGCGCCTGGAGGCCGATGATGAGTTCACGGCGTGGGAGCACTGGACAGTGCCTGGGGGCTCGTACGCGGGCGCGCGCCGCCTGGCACACGCCGCCGGCCCGCGCCACCGGCACGCGGCAGGGCTGGGCGGCCGAAGTGTGGTGGACGCCGACGCACACGGACAGCTGGCAGTCCAAAGGCTATTGTGGCGTGTGCTGCACTGGGGCTTCGCTGTCGTGCAACACCCTTGGGATAGCCCGCTGTGGCAGAGCGAAGGGGTGCAGTCCCTCCTCCGCTACAAGGGTGTATTGTGCACCAGGGTCACCGTGACGGGCGTCGCGCCCGCCGCGGGCGACACGGATCTGTGTTTGCTACACAACTGCCGCCTGCTTGAACAAACGTTCTCGGCAGAGGAGACGGTCGCCCAGCGAGGCGCCTCTGCGTGCACGCAGGAACAGTTCTGTGCAGCATACTCCCGCGCCGTTGCCCGAGCACTGCGCGAGCTCGGGCAACAAGGCGTGCCAGCAGCGCCCTCGGACCAGCCAGCGCGGGTCGAAACCCAGCTGGCGCGCGCCCGCCGGGGAGGCACCCAGGGCGCTTTAGCGCCAGCGGCCCAGGAGATCGGGCGACTCCTGCAACGCATGGTCCCTGGAGGGGAGCAAGCCCACCTCCGGTCCATGCTTTCGTGGGCGGACACTAAAGGCGCTCATGTGTGGATGTCCACCAGCGAAGTTGCCGATTTGCGGCAAACTGTGCCCTACCCGGCATTCGCCTGGAAATGGCACGTTGTCATGTCGTACCGGTGGAAAGCGAAACAACATATCAACGTGTTGGAATTAATTGCGTATTTAAACTATGTCCGAAAGAAGTCTCGCTCTCGTTGTTACCACTCGTTGCGATTCATCAACGTCTTTGACAGCCAAGTGGCCGCGGCTGTAGTCGCAAAAGGCCGCAGTTCCAGCCGGCGCCTCAACAGACCGCGGCGGAAACTCATGGCGTTGGAACTCGCAATGGATGCCTACTCCTTCGGTGTCTGGACCATATCAGAATGGCAGTTCGCGGACGCCGCGAGCCGCCTTCACGCAGGCGATGGGGAAGGCTAGCCGCCAGAAGCCCCGACCAGGGGTAAAACGACACCTGAGGGAAGTAGGCATCACAGCAAAGACAAGAGAGCGATACACGAAAGCACTGATATCATTTTTCTATTACCTTCGGACATACAATATACGCATTCCGCAATCGTTGTTTGAATTGGATTCTACTCTCGCTGAGTACATAAACCACATGTGGCAGGAAGGTGATTCGCACGGATACGCCAGCGACACCATATGCGGGCTGTCACGCTTCTACCCGGGGGCCCGCGCGGCCATACCAACAGCGCGGCAATATCTGCACAATTGGGGGTCGGTCCTACACCGTAAGCGAGCTTTCCCGCTCCCCCGGGCCATCCTGGGAGCAATGGTTGGCGCAGCCATGTCGTATGACCGACTCGACCTTGCCGCGCTCCTCCTTGCAGGATTCCTTGGCTTGTTGCGAACAGCCGAAATAGTGGGACTCAAAGCAGGACAACTTCACTTCAGCCCAGATGGCCGCAAGGTTCTAATTATGCTGTACGACACCAAAACAGCCAAAAGAAAAGGCGGCAACGTCGAGCACGTCATCATCCACGACGCAGTCGCCATCAAAGCCCTGCAGGCGGCATCTGCAGGCCGGTCTCACACCCAGCCTCTCTACACCAAACCACCAAGCCATTTCGCGCACGAGTACAAATGGCTGGCGCAGTTCTTCGGCATCAGTGGGGACACAGTTACGCCCTACGGGCTCCGGAGAGGTGGTGCTACATGGTTGTGGTTGCTGTCGGGATCGCTCGACCGAGTCATGGTGGTGGGGCGTTGGCAGCACGCGCGGACAGCGCGCGTGTACATTGAGACAGCTGCTGCAGAAATGGGCGCCTGGTCCCGCAATGCAACAGAATCGCTGGTGCAGCAGGCCGCCGACCTCGGAAGGCGCGCGGTTCTGCAGGCGTGACCAGAGGTACAGCGGCACAGGGGCTTCCGGCGACTGGAAGTCGGAATTGGGGGCGACGGATGGGGGCAGGGGGTAGCCTCGCGATGGGCTGCTCAGTGGCGGTTGCCGTTCGCACCACCGCCCCTCCTTTAGGAGGTCCTGCAGAACCCCTGCGCCCCAAAGCGTAGTGCCGCAAGCCCCTGCCGCCGCACTGCTCCCGTGCTGCGGCCAAGCACCTCCAGGGTCGAGCGAGGCAAAAAGTGTGAAATGATAGGGCATTTTTGCGTGAGCAGGGGGCCCGGTGATTCACACTTAGCCGAAGACCGCCGTGGAGGGAGGAGCAGGTAGCATCAGCAGTGAAGCATGCAGCAGTTGTCATGCCATAGCACTTTGAGGCTCCCACCACCGCCCCACCACCACCGACGCAACATGCAGAAGCGGAGCATTGAACAGCGCAACCGGCAAAGTCTGTGAGGGCAACCAGGCCCAGGGCGCGCGCCTGAGCACGTAGAACTGCCCTCATGTCCCTCCCCCTCCTTCCTCCCCCCTCTTGCGTACTGACTCTCGCCAAGCTTCCTCTTCGCTTGCCGCCGCTGGGTGCCCGGGGGCACCGCCGTTTTTTTTCCGAGGTCCGGCCTAACGATAGAAGCCGGATGGGGGCAGGGGGTAGCCTCGCGATGGGCTGCTCAGTGGTGGTTGCCGTTCGCACCACCGCCCCTCCTTTAGGAGGTCCTGCAGAACCCCTGCGCACCAAAGCGTAGTGCCGCAAGCCCCTGCCGCCGCACTGCTCCCGTGCTGCGGCCAAGCACCTCCAGGGTCGAGCGAGGCAAAAAGTGTGAATACGTCTGCCTCTGGCACAATCCGCCCGACCCAAGAGAAACCTTTTACCCAAGCCAAGGGCCCCGAGAAGGAATCATATCCATCAACAATTCCTGGTCGAGCGAGCGCAGACAACAACTGCAACACATCCACTGCGGTTTCGCATCCCTTTGGTGCGCGCTAGGGAATCATTTTTGATAAGCCTCTTGCCTCGTAGGGGCTCGCGGATTTCTCCCCTGGCGCAGGAAAAACCTACATGATGGCCGTTCTGGCCGATATGGTGCTGCATGTCGCCCCGGCGGACGCGCGCATCGTGATCCTTGCGCCGCAGAATAAGACCGTGCAGGATATCTACAACAAACTTGTTCGACTTTATGGAGTTGAGTCTCGGAAGCGTATTATGTACACCCGACATATCATGGGACCTGACGGATGGCCCGTTGATCACTTTCAACAGCAACTCACGGAACTATCACAGGAAACCTTGGCCAGTACCTTCGGCATCTTGCGGCTCGTGGACGAAACCATCAGTTATCTTGTGTCATTGAGCGGCCGTCGTATGGCTGAGGAATATTGGGAACCTACCCTGCATGCCCTTTTAAGCTTTCGGCATCAGTTCCTGTTCGCCGTGATCTACGAGGCGGAGCATGCCGAACAGCAGCGGCATCGCGATGCTGTCCGTGTCATTCTCTGCACCTCCGCTTCCTGGCGCAAGATGCTCGCAGGCGATTCAATGTACAAAAAGGCGAGCCATTTCCCGCATATCGTATTAAAGGATGAATGTCAAGCCGATGGCCCCGAGCAAACAGCGGCGGACTTATCTGGTGCAAGCGCCGCAGTGCTGTTCGGGGACACGTGTCAAGCCATGCATCTTCATCACCACATTTCAGAGCGAGCGCCGTCAAAGGTTCTTGACACCACGGACTTGCGGCCCGACACGCTCACCTTGCACTGGCATTGTGTGATGACTTGGCTGGGGAACTCACGACGCGAGATCGACGCCGTGCAGGTGATGACGGACAGAACCTCCTACCGTCTCGGGCGGGTGATAGCAGACGCCGTTAAGGCGTCCCTCCCAGAAAGGTTCTGGTTCGACGTTGGCACGGGCGCGTCCGACACGATTCTCGTGCCGATGGCGTACAAGTGTGAGCACGGCGCTCTGTTGGGCAAGGAGGCGTGGCGTTATTCTGTAGAACCCAGGCCTGAAAGCCACCACCAGACGAACCCAGAGATATTAGCTGCTCGCACCCCGTTTCTCCTCGGCGCCACCTTAGTTGCAATCCACATGGTCATCGCGAGGACCTGGCGTGCTGTTCCAAACAAAGTTCTACTCGTAGTCATGTGGTCTTTGAAGCGACCCCTGGCCGAGTTCGCGACCTTCGTGCGCAGCATGGCTCCCGGCCTCGCGCGTTCGATTCACGAGTCCATGAACTACGGCGGGGACTCGGACTATACCAACGCGTACTACTGGTTCGATGACGATGAGGGTAGAATCTTGTTCAAGCCTACGCGTTCCGCACAGGGAACAGATTCGTACGCGTCTTTGCTTTTCCTCAGTCGGAGACGGCAGCAGGACTCCCAGGGGTGGTACGGGGATCAGGGCCAGCCTGAGCAACTCTTCGAATCTTTGACACGTGCTTCTGGGATATGTTATGTTCTCTTCGAGAACACCCTGGAAGTTGAGCCTCGCGATTCAAGAGCCTCCCGGACCTGCATCATGAACCTGTGGGAGCACTGCCAACGACGTTTGCTGTGTCGCGGCTCGACCCTGGCTTTGAAGGGGGATTTTCCAGTGACGAGCTTCAGCACCGAAGTTGATCCCCTGCTGTGCGTATTCTCAGAAGCTTGGCTATGGGAAATGGGCCTTTGGAATGCCCGCGACAAGCTTACCTCTTCAACTACCACGCGTTGGTTGGCGACAGCGGGAGAAGCGTATGATGAGCTTTTCTCTACAAACCAGTCTGCCCGAGGTGCCCATGATGGCCCTCGAGTCTCAGCCTTGTCGTACCTTTTGTCTACGAAGAACGATGACATGTTCCGCCCTGTGCATAAGCTTCGTGGCGTCAACGAGGACGCCGAGGACTTGTACACGAAAAGTGCAGCAACGTTGCGAGACGCCTCTGCACGGCGACAGACCGTGCTCACAGACAAAGAGATGAACACGTGCAAGTCGGCGGCGATAGCGGGCGTCACAGCAACTGTATCAGAACGGGCAGAACGGCAGCCGCTCCGTAATGTCATTTTGACACAGCCTCTGCATCGCCCAGCCTTGCAGAGGGTAGACGCGGACAAGATGCTTATCACTCTCGGACAGAAGATCTTCGAGAGATTCATGAGCTCGCACGGTTGGGCGTTCATGGACGTTCGCTTTCAGCTTGTCCGCCATAAGTGCGACGAGCTTCACATCGGCGGACAGCTCTTCCATAGAAAGCATTGCGGCAGCACTAGAATCGCTGCGTCCATCGTGAGCAGCGTGGACGGCAAACCGTCGGAACTTTTACATATGTATTTCGCGATGGAGCTACCGCACCAGCACAATCTGCAGGCAAACTTGCTCGCTCGGGTAAAGGGCTTGCAGATGGCAACGAGCGTTGCTGCCGAATTCTGCGACTTTGCTGCGAGCCCGATGTTTTGCTTGAAGTTGCCTGCTGGCAACGACGGTGCAGCTGCGCAGCACGAGTGGAACTCATTTCGCGGACCCATAGCAAGGCCGCACAGGTGGGTTGTGCAGTCCCGTTCGGGGTGTCCAGACGTCCTAAAAGACGATTTCACCGCGCTGCTGCAAGCTGTACAGAGTCATCATTCGAACCCTGCCAGCCATGCTGGGTTTATTTTATTCGAGCATCCTTTTTTCGCCGCTTTCCCTGAGCTGTCCCTATCGTGCAGAGGCTGGTTGCGTCTCTCTCGGTAAGCGTGACACTGCTGCTTGTTCGGAAGACGCCGTTGCTACTTCGCTTCGAACAGCTTTGAGTACTGTAGTATAAAACAGCGGAACGGAGTGGCCTGGCCTCGCGCGGCTGCACTCGGAGCGGTTCGGCTTGCGCGGTGGAGTACTCACGCATTTTTGTATTCTGAGTGTGAGGATGAGGACAGATAACGTATTCATGTGCTCTGTGGGGTGCCGTGCTCTGTGGGGGTCTGCCGTGCTCCTGTGGGGGTCTGCCGTGCTTCTGTGGTCTGCCGTGCTCATTTGGGGTCTGCCGTGCTCGTGTGTAGTCTGCCGTGCTCCTGTGGGGTCTGCCGTGTTCCTGCGTGGTCTGCCGTGCTCCTATGTGGT